TTTTGAGAGCAAATTAGAAGAGAGGATTTTCTTTTGAGTGTGGTTATAGGTGTTGGAGCGATAGCCTATTTATAAAGGGGTAATAAATCAAAAATTAATATTAAAGTATTAGAAAATTTTACAATTCTTGTTATTTTTTTCAATGATTTTAATGACTAACGACTAACGACAATACTCTTTGACAAATGAAACACCAAGGAGAGTTTACATGGGATGTTCACTGAAAAGTCGTAGTTATATTAGTTAGGCAAACACTTTGATTAATCAAGAAAAGAATATTTTCATCTCAATAAAAAGGGAGAGTTACTAGATTAACCCAAATTTTGAGTTTAATTACTAGATTAACTCACAAATAATTTGGGTTAAATGAGTTATTTTCATACCTAAAATACCCTTGTCTCATCTGTAAAAAAAAAAAAAAAATACCAAAATACCCTTGTCCTAGTTTACAGAATCAAATGCCTTCCTAATGTCTACTTTGAGCATACCTCTTGGTTCAATGTTTTTTCTATTGTAGCCTTGCACGATCTCAGTAGCAAGAAGGACATTTTCTGCGAGTAATCTACCCGGCATAAAAGCTGACTGCGAGGGAGAAATGACCTGTTCCAGCAGCCATTTCAAACGAGAAGCAAGCAACTTTGATATAACCTTGTAAACAGTGTTTAAACAAGAGATTGGTCTAAAGTCAGATGTCCGCGAGGCATTGGGAATTTTAGGGATCAGAACTAGGCTAGTACCGTTCATTTGCTTTAACAAACAACCAGACCTAAAGAACTCGGAGACGGCCTCGGTGGCTTCAGGGCCAACAACAGACCAGCAGCCCTTGAAGAATTCAGCAGAAAAACCGTCGGGGCCACTTGTTTTGTTTCTTGGAAGCGAGAAAAAAGCATTTTTGATTTCCTCTTTTGAGAACTCATTCTCCATGCTAAGTTTCTGGCTTGGTGAACATCTGAATGGCAGAAGGAGGTCCATGTCACTTTGAACCAGCATAGACTGACCTACCTCACCACCTAGTAAATCCGTGAAGTATTCAACACAATGGGCACTTATCTTCTTTTGAGACTTAATCCTCTCCCCATTTGTGTCATCCAAGAAGTGAATGTGGTTTTGGGCCTTTCTAGTAGCAGCCATTCTATGGAAATAAGCCGTATTACTGTCCCCATTACTTAGCCATGAAACATGTGATATTTGACAGAAAAATTCTTCCTCGGCTTTACGTAGAATTTGCCATTTTCTTTCAGCTTCCAACTCCTTTTCAGCATTGGTAGGAGTAGGGTTTGAGAGCGTTGAGCTTTGAAGGAGAAGGAGCGTAGCATGAGCTTCTGTCACTCTCTTTTCCAGATTTGAAAAGTTGTCCTTGCTGAACTTCCTGATAATAGGTTTCAAACTCTTAAGCTTTAAAGAAAGTTCGAGCATTGCGGATCCCGTAAAGTTGCAAGAGAACCAATGCTCTGCAAAAACCGATAGGAACTCCTCATTTTGAAGAAGAAAGTTAAAAAACTTGAAAGGTTTCTTCTCCTTCTGGCTAGTCGGATCCAAAAACACACTACAGGAAACATGATCCGAGTAATCAGGCTCCCCAAACATAGCAACCGCCTCAGGAAAAGAAAAAGACCAGTGAGTGTTAACCAAGACTCTATCCAATTTCTTTGCCACTGGTTTTGACTTTGATTTGTTCCACCATGTGAATAAATTACCTCTAAAAGTGAGGTCAGATAAATCAGATGCAAGTAGACAATCTCTGAAATCCCTGGTACGCACGTTCACATTTAGAGAAGAAGGGCTTGAGTGTTCTGAGGGGTCAAGAACCTGATTGAAATCTCCCATAACAATCCAAGCCTTACTTGCTAATCCCTGAGAAATAGACTGACTTACCAAATCACTCCAAAGCTCTTGTCTGAGATCAACATCATTAGAAGCATAAATAATAGAGACCACAATCCACTCCTTAGCATTTGGAAGTAACACCTCGCACATAACCATCTGCAACGACTTGAAAATTACCACAACCTTGACACTCTAGTGCCACAGAATCTAAATCTTACCTAAATCCGAGTAAACATAGTTATCCGCAAAAAGCCAACCAGGAAGAAGATCATTAATAAATTTCTTCATCTTCGGTTGTTTAACATGTGTCTCGATGAGACCGCCAAAAAGGGGCTGCTTACCCCTTAACCATTTACGAAAGCCGCTCCTATGGCTATATATATTGAAGCCGCGGACATTCCAACAAAAGAGTTTTGTATACATAATTATGTGAGAGAGAGAGGCGCTTGCCTCTTTGGTCTTTCTGTTGTCTGCGAGACAACACTACCGTGAATTTCTCACTCTCGTCTTCGGCACTAGCAACATCCTCAGAATCGGACGATAAAACATCTGAAGAATCTGATTCTACATCTGGAGATTGCTGCTTTGGATCAATCACATCCACACGAGAAGGGCATGCGGCTTTATCTGCGATTGAAAGTCCACTTGAATCTCTATTTGATTTTGGATATAAAGGATTGGCTACTACTTGAACTTGCCCTTGAATCTGCTGTGAATCTTTTCTAACATAGATCATCTGGGGACCCTTGACCAGTGAAGGTGGATCAGAAACAGGAGGCTTTTTCTGCTGCCTACGCTTTGTTGACTCCCCTTTCAGCCTATGACAAAGCTCAGAAAGATGAGTCTTGGAGTTGCAGTGAAAGCACGTTTTAGGAGCCTTCACACAACGTTTGACTATATGGCCAACTTCCTTGCAGAAACCGCACACAGGAGGCATCCAGGGGCTGAAGACGAGAATTCTTGTGATGTCTCCAGAATCAAACTGAGCGTTTACCGTCTCCGGCAAAGGCTTTCTAGGATCAATAATTGTGAAAACTTTTGCAACCTCAAGATTTGTCTTGTTTGCAGTTGAAGGGTGTAAGAACTTTGGCTCTCCAACTAAGCTAGCAATCCGTTCTAGACCCTCCTCATGGAAAAATTGCAGAGGAACGTTTCGCAACTCAAGCCAAATAGGAGCAGAAGTCAGTTCCGGCTTCTTTGGGACGACTCCGGGTTCCCATTTTGCCACAAACATGGTCTGCCCCTCAATTTGCCACAATATTTGGTTGATAACTCTATTTCTAACAGAGCTGTTGGGGATGCGAAAAAGGAAAGTATTTCCATCCATCTTTGAGACTGAGATATCTCTATACTGTCTGCTCCAAATACCATTAACAATATTGTGAAGAGTGCCCTGCGACGGCGGGTCCGAATAGAATTGGCCGAGCACAAAGCAGTCCCACGATTTACGGTTTCTTTCGATAATAGAATTTGGGATCTTGATACAAGCTTCACCAGAGGGAAGGGTGAAGGTTGTTCCTTTCTTTTTGAGCTGCTTAGAGGAGCCTTTGGCAACATTAACCCAAGAGTCATCAGCAGCAGCAGGCTTTGAATTTTCTAGGTTTTCTAAAATTTTACCAATTGGGGATTTCTCAAAAATCTCTGTTGATTGAGAAGTTGGAGCTTCAATTTCTGAGACACCACCCAAGAATTTTGGTTCCGATACAGGAGAGGAGATGTCTTGAATAGAAGCAACGGCGGAAGAATGAGACGCGGGATCAACCGGTTCTGAAACAACCACGGAGCTTATGGCCAAGTCTGCCGTAGCGGCAGTCGATTGGGCATCTGAAGAAGGCGGAGGAGACGGGGCTGCCGCAGCAGCAACGGAGGAAGGAATCGAAGGCATCTGGGAGAGAGAAACCTCAGAAATTGGAGCTACCTTTTGCGGAGAGGGCTTCGGCGGAGACGCCGGCTTGTGTTTCTTTTTCTTCACCATAAGGAGGTGAGGGCCTGTGAAGGAGGTTGGAGGAGGTGCCTGACGTCGTGAGAGACGCCGGCAAAGAAGAAAGAAAGCGGTCACCTTTTTGCTCTTTGAAGAGAGAGAAACGGAGAAAAAACGCGATGACAATCTAATATATATATATATATATAATAATTAAGACGTTACTTGTGTAAAAGTTACACCAGAACGCATCCTACTTCCACCATCTCTAATGGCTCGTGGTGTGTTTTATGAAATACTCCCTCTGTTCTTTCAAGTTTGATGTTTTGGTTTTTTTCTTTGTTTCTGAAAGTTTGATTTTTCAGAATTTATTTAATGTATTTGTTTTATTTAAATTAATTAAAATGAAAAAAAGAGGGTAATGATGGAATGTGAAACTCCCACTTTTGTTGCATTGTTAGTAACAAACACGTTATCTTCCATTTAAATAATCATATATTTTAATTAAATAATAAAAAATTTTGTTTCTTAATTTATGTGCAAAACTCAAAACATCAAACTTGAAGGAATAGAGGGAGTAGTATGTTTGGAAGGCTAGAAACAAAAAAAAAAAATCAATTATCTTTGATCAAATACCAACAGCATTTTTAGTTAGTAGAATGTGAAGCAATGGATTAGTGTTGGATTTAAGACATTGTCAATTTGCAACGATATGATCGGGTCTGACTGGTGTAAGTAGAAAAGAAAAAACTAGAGGAAGCTGGAGGAATTTTGTACTTCTAATATTAAGCCGAAGAAAGTTTTCTGCTGGAAAAAAAAACTTTCTTTGAGAACAAAAAATTAAAGTGGTGGGTCCGGAGATTATTAGAGAAGAGATTATTAGATAACAAAAAATTAAAGTGTTATCTTCAAAATCTGTCGTATATATATAAGCAAGGGATTAGCGACAAACTTTTTCCGCCGTTCAATGCCTTTTTCCTTGTACTTTGTTTTTTTTTCTTTCTCTTTTAATTTATAGATGAGTTAATATACATAGGATCAATTATCTAACAAATGATCAGCTCAAGCACGCTTCGATGCTTTCGGTTACGTTTGTAACGCCAACTTTTGATAATTTCTGTATTCTTTTACTCGAAGAACTCATAAGTCTTCAGTCAAAAAACTGAATGATTGCTTTCAAATTTTTCCACTTTAATATCACAAACTCCAAAGGACCAGCTTTTGTCATTAGCCACTAACATGCCTTCCTATTTTCCAAACTAGATCCTTAAACTCCGAAGCTTCTCTTTAATGTTCCCCAAAGTTATAGAATTTGCTCAGCTAGACCCTCCTTCTGAAATGCTTTGTAAAGAGGGCTGCCATGATCTTGAGATTCTTGACCTTTCTTTCTCTTGCTTCTTCATTTGCAGCTATAGACATTTTTTACCCAAGTTAAAACCAATTATCACTACTTAGTCGTTCGCTAAACTATAATTTAACATGTTAATCTTTGTAGTCACAAATTACCTGATCTGTATTGTCAAGCTTAGTAGAGTTAATTGCTTTCACCATCTCTAGCTTATCTTCCGACCCTTTACTTTCTTTCTTCAACTTCGAACATTTTTTCGCCATTAAACCCTTCATAACCTCTGAATTTCACTCCAAATAGTTTCAAAATTTGTAGATTAGAATCCCATATGTATATAAATATAACTTTTATGAGAATGTTTCTTTTAATATAAGTATAAGTACGTTTTAAGTAAATTTTCTAAGCGCCTAGCTACATATAGTTTGAGAAAATCGAAAGCTAAAAAGGCCAAAATAGCTCATCTATTTCCTAGGGCTGCAACTTAGAAGATAGTAACATATTTTATATCAAACAAACTAAAAAAATATAGTTCAAATTCAATTACGAGATATGTAAATGGATGCAACATTATAGAGTTACGTTGGAGTAAATTTAAGCATGTTACTCGAATATATACCTTTAGTGCTAATGAGTCTATAGACGTGGCCGAGAACAAGCGTATCCGTTGGACGAAGGAGCTTGATCCTTGTGAGCCTAAGAGGGCCTCCATGACTGGAAGAGGTGGCCGAGAGAGCAGTGATGGAGATAAGAAGA